CCCTTTTTACGGACACCTTAGATTTTAGAGAGAGAGATACTCTGAGTTTTCGGCTTTTGCGATTTCTGAGCTTTGGGAGACAAGTCTGTACTCTGTTCGTTTAGAGAGAAGATTTCGAACCCCTTTATCTATTTTGATTTATTCTATTGCTTTCTATTCATCATGTTTGTTGTTTCAATAACCATGTCTGAGTAAATCATCTGTTAGGTTTAGGGTTAATTAGGGTTTTCTTTGAATGTTTGATTAACTTGCCAGTTAGGGTTCATATCTATTTGTTCTTCACCTTAGGTTGTTCTTAAAGCTAATTCTGGACTGATCACCTAGAACTTAGATCTTAGGTTGCTTAATTGACACGGAAGTGTAATTGAATAACTGGAAAGAACCTGAGTTGAGCAAAGTAACTATTCGCAAAGGAATTTGGTTTAGGAGCTTTGTGAACATATCGAACTTGTGCATTAAAGCTGGTTTAAATTTGTAGGATTTACAAAGGAATTTGGGATTCTAGGATTTTAACTTAGATAATTCTCACAACGGAAGTTGGTTAATTATAGTTCTATGTTTCGAGTTCAAGAACTGTGCTTAATAACTGAATCCTGACTTGTTAAGTTGATTTGCATTCATTGATCTCCTGAAAATCACCCTAGACCTATCCTTTATCACATCGAATTTACAATTGTCTTCATTGCTATTCTATTTACTTTTGTCGCAACACTATTTATTTCGCATATCTTGGCTTAGCGTAACTCTATCTACATAAGGTTTATTGAGTGATTTCTTGTCTCTGTGGTTCGACCCCTAGATACTACAACTGCACATTTGTGCTCTTGCAGAGTAGCTTAGGGATTTAACTTTGAGCATATCACTCTCTTGCATTTATAATCTCTAGATAGAGACAATTCAGCCATATTTTTACATGTAAAAGATCTAAAACTCATATACCTTATTAACCAGTTAATTACTTATATATATATATATATATATATATTACTTATAGTATATATATATATATATATATATATATACTAGAAATTAACTCCCACACACAGTGTTTGGTAAAAATTTTAAAATTATTTTAAAATGTAATTTTAAGATTTTGGTTAATATTGGTTAGCATGTAAACTAACTGTATATATAAATATTACAAAGTTAATATTTACTTATACACTCAAGTTGGATAAACATCATATTAATGAAATTATTTTATCGTTTTGAGATTTAATATATAACTAATTTTTAAATATAAAAGTGATGTAAGTAATATATATACTTTTTTTTTTTGACATCATGTAAGTAATATATATACTTATCAACATGATTTAGTAGAACAGAAATTTGATTGTGATTTTTTATTTATTTGATATCATGTTATCACTTTTGCTTAATGAATTCTATATTATGTCTTATTAATATTATATATATATATATATACATATATATTATCAAATCTGACTAACCCATGTACTTAATCTATTTCATAATAAATTATAATGTTTTAGACCAATCCGCAAAGAACTACAATTTTAAATCTTGAAAACATATTTTAATTTTTTAAAATATTATTGAACTGATTTTCAAGTATAATATAAATTAGTTATAAAAAACTAAATGAAAAATATTGCAATATTTTAATAGAATTTTTTCTTTGGATATATATGAATTGATTAATATTTAAAATAATAGAATATATTTAAATATCTTAATAAGAAAAGAAACTAAATATGCTTCTGATTTATATTCATATTCTCTTTAATAAATTCAAAAGACATTTCTATTATTTCCTATTTCAATTATTTCTTTTTATTTTGTAATGGTATTTATGCAATATCTTACAAAATGTCTGCTTAAATAATAGTATATATATATATATATATGAAAAATAGTTATATGAAATTTTTGTATTTTTTTATTACATTTTATAAGAAATTAGGTATATAATAATGAAATTTAGGTATATAATTCGATTTTTTAATTAAAATGTATAACAAAACCGTATAAGATTGAATAACATATAAAAAAAAAAATCCTTTTCAACATAGAAACTAAATAACATTAAAAGTTTTGAGTATAAAGTAGCTCGAGACTAATAAACCTGTTTTTTTTAGATAATTACCACCACAAATACTTTTTATCTTTTTTATGACCACCAAAGGCACTTCAGTATTTTGGTGGACTTATCTCATTTTGTTACACCCTTTTTTCCAATTATACCCTCTATTTACACTTATCCATTATTCACTACAATCTCGTTTTTTACCATTACTCTCTCCGGTCATCATTATTTTCACCCTACCCTATATCTTCTTCTCCGGTCATCATTCTTCCCTCTCCGGTGTCTTCTTGTCCTGTGTCTCCGGTGAAAATAATTCTATTGCAAATTTCTAAAGATTTTGCTCGTTTCCAGTTTTTCACCTCATCCACGAATTCTCTCTATTCTTCTTCAAGAATTTTCCATATCTCCATCTCAGATTCCGAGAATACAGTCACACGTTTTGCTACACAAATCCCACTGATATTTCGATATCATCCAACTTTCACCCATGAGCAGTTCAGCTTTCACGTTTTTAGGCACACGAATTGGCATCACTTTATCGAAAAACTCAGAAATATTTTCCCCTTCCAATTATCAATCGATTTGGTCTGAAATTCATGTCTGTGAATTTTTGAATGCTCAAACCAAACCCAGAATTGGTTACGCTTTCAATTTTTGATCACTAATCCATTTAATTAAACATGTTCCCTCACTGAAATAGATAGTCTTTAACTTAGATACACCAAAATTTAGCCACCTTACAGTTATCAATCGATTTTGGTCTACAAATTCATGTCTGTGAAATCTAGATTGGTCAAACTAAACCCAGAATTGGTTACGAATTCAATTTGTAGATTATGAATCAATTTAATATATTACACATGTTTCCTCACTGAAAAACTTTATGGATTTATATGCGTATCCATATATCATTACATAAATGGATAGCTATCTGTCACTACATATTTAACCATATGTCATTTCTGAAATGGATATCTTAAAATGTATCCATATACACATATACTTATGGATTCTTCCGTTCTTTTCCCCAGCCGAGTCTTACAATTTTTCTTAACCATGTGTCATTATACGAATGGATATTTTTGTCCTTATGATATAATTAATATCCATATAAACATTCACTTTTGGATTTCAAGATCACCTCCCCTTTTTCAATGGTTTCGATGGTCTTTTTTCTCCAAAACGATTCTTAAAATCTAACCCTAAATCAATTAACTCCTCAATCTCACATATCACCTTCTCTTTCAATTTCTTTACACTCACAGTGGAAAACTCATCATCATCTGCAAACTCATTCAACTAGAACTACAACCACCAGGAAGCTCCTCTTTGCCACTGCAGAAAACCGACGAAAATGACCCAGTCATGGACCGATGAGAATCCTGGAAGAATGTTTTTGAGATGTGATACTCATGGGTTCTCAATGTGGACGGACAAAGAGAAACCTTATGGTAGGCAGAAGGTTCGATTAATTGAGACTAGAGAGCAGATTCATCATCAAAAAGACGAAATCAGAGAGCTTGAAGCCACTCTTCGAGAAACTCAGCAAGGGATCAATTCAAGAATTTCAGCAAATGTTACTGCAGAAATGTTTGCCGAGGAGAAGAAAAATCTTGAATTTGAAGCAATGGCATCAAAAGAAAGGGAGAAATTATTCCGCCAATTTGTGGTTGTCTCATGGGGAGGATTCATTGTAATTGCAGCAATGATACTTACAATGGTGAAGAAGTAGCTTTTGTGTCAGATGTTCTTAGTTTGCTTCTATAATTATATTTTTTTTTTCCAGATGTTCTTAGTTTGCTTTGATGTCAATTGTTGTCTGGGCTGTTCTTATTATAATTTTGTTGTCGTTCATGTTTATCTCTTTTGTTGTTTTTCATATGAATGAAACTTGATGATATTTCTATTATATGAATGAAACTTTATTATATTTCTACATTAGTCAACAAATGAATTTGACTGCTAGAGTTCCGTATATATATATATATATATATATATCCTTGTAATTTCCTAGTAACCATTAGTCATAAAATTAATGGACACACTTATGGACTTGTTATGTTTGAAACTTAATACAAATACAACGCTCCCGTATCCTTCGACAACTGTCCATGTGTCCTTATCCAAATAGATATTCATGGATGTGTTACTCCTCTTACTTATAACAGTTTGATATCTTATAGCCGTTCTATATTCCATAACCAGTCATCCATATGTTCGTAATTCATTTCTCAAACATTATAACTGATGGATGTACAATATGTTTAACTCAGCACGCCTCTGCAAAATTTAAATGTTAGTACGAAATGTCTAATCTGCACAACAATCCATAACATTACGTACGCATGGATATATATAATGCCTCACTATAAAACTTTTTTCATTTATTACCGTCTTTTCCTTTTTACTGCCTTAGTAATTTTTCCGTTGTTCTGGATAACTTCCGTTCTTACGCCTCTGTCGTCCCCAGAACGCCGCCATCTTTGACTCCGCCCTCCGGACCGCCATCTTTATCTCCTCCTCGCTAGGTACACACTTTACTCTATTTATCTCTTCCTACGGCACTGTTTTTTTTTCCGAGGCGTGAAACTTAGTGTTCTACTCGCCATCCATGAACCCTAGTTCTTGATAGTAATTGATTTTGTGGATTTCCTTAAGTAATAAATTTTTCTTCTTTAATTCTTCTATAATTAAAAATTAACAACTTAATCAAAGTACTTTTGACTTCTGCTTTTCGGATTTCTCGAGTTGTTTCGATCTGATGTACTTGAAGATTTTTTGTAATTTTCTACCCTTTTTTATTTAGTTATCGCAATGGAGCCGGATTTAGGACTACCCACCCGTCTGTTTGCCACTGACCGGAAGCCGATAAACCGCATCAATGTTTACTCTAGACCGGACTTGCTTACTCATCCACAGACTTCTAACCCGTCAACTCGTTACTAAAAAAATGTACAAATTGTGGATAGTTTTTGGTGGTCAACCATTTCATTTCGGACTCAAAGAATTCGGCACAGTCACGGGTTTGCCTTGTGGTGAGTACCCGCCAAACTACGACCCGGATTACCAACCCCCTACCCCCAAAAATCCAGGTGATTACTGGAGGGATCTAATTGGTGATGATCCCAAAACTATGTTGGCTGATTTTGCCGAGCTGCTCCGTAAAGAGCCAGATATGCTTACGGGTAGGAAAATTCATCTCGCTTTGCTTATTATTGTCGATGGTGTGCTCATCGCTAACTCCCCAGTTCACAAACCGTCTTGGAACTACGTCCGGATGCTGGAAGATTTAGATGCTTTATTAAGATTCCCGTGGGGTCGTGAATCTTTTTACCGGACCATCTGCTGTATGCGTCCTGCCAAGAAGGGTTCCACCATAAATGAGGCTTCAGTTGAACTATTCTGTCAACAAATGCGCCAAGCTACTTTTAGGCTGCAAGGTTTCCCATTAGCACTGCAACTTGTTGTCTTCCGTGCATGTCCTTTACTACCATCTAAGTTACCAAAGGACTCTGACCATCCAACATTGCTGGAATGGACTACTGTAACATTCTCAAAAGGGAATGCTCTGTCTCATTCAGACGTTATAGAAATAGAATTCTCAGACGCGGTCAGTTCTCTTTTACTCTCCTTTTAATACCAATTATAAGACGTTGTCATTTATTTATTATTTCTTCAAACAGCTCGTTGTCCACCCGCTTATACCAGTAGATCAGCCTGATACCGAGGGTTGGGGAGATTGGGATGATGAAGTTAGGGACAAAAACATTGACCACCTTGAGCTTCTTGTCAATCAGGGTCATGCTTTCCAAAAGTCGAATTGGCACGGTGGAGATTCAGCAGAACAATTGACAACACATAACCCAACCGTGCCAAAAAGGGAACACCAGAAACACATCCTCAATAGGAGAACAAAGACGTCGTCTCCCCCATGCCCATATTCACTTCGCCCAAGGAAAGTCACACCAAAGAAAAAGTCTACTCGTACACAGAAGCAAATCCATGACTATCTCAAGCCTCTGCCGCGTGACTTGCATTCCCAGGTCAACATACTTGCCAAGCAGGTTGAGACATTGACGGCCCGTGTCCAGAAACTAGAAGCCAAAAACACGTTTCGCAACCACTCAGGCCTCAATCATTTTTCAAGGATGGGAGTATGTTCGTCAAGGCTCAGAAGAAAAAGGGCGCGCCAGTAATCTAAGGGGTGTGAAACGTCTAAAAGTCAAAAAGATGTGCCAGCCAACAGTTCACAAGCTGAGCCGTTTGATCCGACTGAGCGGACTTTTAACCAAGTCCAAAAAGTTTAAATCTTATATCTAATCTAGACATTTTGGGATTACAAATTTCCTTCTAAAATATTGGCATGTCCAAATGGATATCTATATTTGGTCTCATTTCACATTTTTCATATCCATTTTCATCGTCAATAGTTATATCCATTTTGCCTTGAAAAACTCTTGCTATCGCCAAATTGCTCTTTCTTTTACCAAACATATAACATGATTATACAGGAGTCCGCTGCATTCCAACCGGGCCTTAACCTTGTTGACCAGTACCGTTCATTGTCGCACGAAGACGTTCCAACTTATCCATACCATACAGGACGGGATAATCTAATGGATGTTGATGAGATCGATCCACAAGTATCTTTCTTACAAACAAACCCAAGCGTAAAAGAAGTCTTCAGATGTCATTCACTCTTCCAATTTAATGATATTCGCAGACCGTTTTCTTTGTATCAGAACATGGCCTTATCACATCAGAAAATCCTTACACGACCTCTAATGTAAAGTTATACGCCTTTACCAAAAATATTGAAAACGATACGCTCTTATACTAGTTTGATATTAACTTTTACATTCCGTTTTCAAACTTCTAGGTACAAACACCCTTACTCTTACTTAACGAGAATTACGCTTCCCCATTACATATATTTCAGGAGCATGTTGAATTCGATCCAACACAAACCAATCATCAAAACCTCAACGCTGGTACAGACACAGCTACACCAACAATCCATTCCATCGTCCATGATGACTATTATTCAGCTGATCGCTATCTCGTTAACATGCCCAACTCCTCTGCAAACTCTGGAGGTCCAATTTCTCCTTCCAACAATGAAGACATTTTAATGTCTACTCTTGATGAGAAATTAGTTTTCTCAATCCCAAACAACGATGCTATACGTCCACTCCACCCTACCTTATTGCCAGCTCACGATGTCCTCTTTAGACCTTTCTCAATTTTACCTTATTCAGACATTTCAGTTGAATACTATTATTAATTATGTCCGTCATAGAACTGTCCATTTATACAGGCAAGCGGAATAAAAACACCCAAAACTGCGGCAGGCAAAGCGAGTACAACAACTCAATCTTCACCACCTGATGACCAAGACATTCAGGATCTTAGTGATTCTTCTGAATGCTCTGAAAGGAAACCACAAAGCCTTTCATCACCTGAGAAAGAACTAACCTTATTATTCCTTAACAAAACCCACAAATACAATCAAACCGCTTCTCCCAAAAGTGGATCAAAAGGAATACAAGTTCTTTCACAAAACCTTGCTTGCTAATTGACAACGGTAAGCTTCTCTAACTAACATCGTCTGATTTCACATCACCGAAACTAATAATATGATCTGTCTCCTATACTACAGGTCACACTATCAGGGCCCCCTCTTCTTCTGCGATAATGAATTCCTCGTAAAACTAGCAACCCTGAAACAATGGGTTAACTCAATTGTATGAACTGTGTATCGTCCACTTTTTCATTGGTTAACTCGTTCGGCAGACTTTAGTTACCAGGTTATTTACTTTTTTGTATCCACTTTTGCAGCATATGGACGTACTTATGAGGTTCCTTAGAAGTCGTCACAAAGCTATCCTCACAACCAATCGAGCCTGTTTTGCGACCTTTTGGCTCATTAGCCATCTACAAGGCAAATACCGAGCTTTCAAAGCTTCTAAAGACAAATCCAAGCACCGTTGGGACGAACTGCTTTCAAAATACATCCACCTTAATGGAAAAGGGTTGTTCGACGATGTCGACACCATATATGCCCCGATGAATTGGAACGACGCTCACTGGGTTGGCTTGGTTATTAATCTACCAGGTTGGTCTGTTGAGATTCTAGACTCATTTCCTACATTAAACGACCAACCCAATGTCACTCAATTCATGGAACCAGTGACTACCCTCCTACCATATATCCTAAACAAACAATGTCTGAATGATGTTACATAGGAGCACGGCTGCCGGGCGTTTTGTTTTAAACGTCTAGACGGTCTTTATCAAAACAAACGAGGTGGTGACTGCGGTCCGGTCTCAATCAAGTTTTTGGAGCTGCACACTAACAGAGAATTGGTAGAGGGTCTCGATACTTTAAAAAAAAAAGGATGTCGATGCATTTCGAAAGTCTTATGCAACTTTTTTTAAGAACTTATCGCTCCTTTGTACGTGAATGAGTGCCTATCCCCATCAGGTTCCCCTTAAATTTATTCCGTCCGCAAACTCTAGCAGTCTAATGGTGCATGGTCTGTTGTTTTATTATAACTTAATTCCCTTTTTGACAAACATACAATCATGTTAGATATGTTAACCACCTAATTATGCTATTTTGTTTTGTAAGAATAACTTATGTGGAAACAGTTATCCAAATAGATTGTTGATAACGGTTAAGTTGTGTTTTACTATTATTTCATTGCCTATTATAATGTAATGCCCTTATTTGTCAAAATATAAGAACATGTTTCTCTTAATTAAGTTGATAATCAACTACATATGCACTAATAGTATGCTTTGTTATTTTTTTACATAGGTAGCCTAACAAACTATCCAATTAGGGAATTAACCCTACTTAAGTTGTAAACATTTACCTTTTTAGAGGTACTACTCTTACAAACATTTGCACCAAAACTTAGCAGTCTTACCAATACAAAAGTTGTAAATCATAAAGCAAATCCAAATGTAGATAAAGAATCAGAAACAAGGTCCCCTCACTGCCTACCGAATGTAGATGAAGAATTGCGACGACAAGAAACAAGAGTTGCAAAAATATGGTCCCTTCAATTTTTCATGTGAATAAAACAATTGTATTAACAATATAAAGGAAGTATTAAGACCAAAATAATGTTTGTATTAAAATGGTTGCCTTCACCATCACATGGGTATTGACAATAACCAATTATCCTATAACGTGGGTGAATAACAAACAAATAAATGGTAGGAATAGTATAGAACGTAGTTATAACCCCAAAACATAATTAAAGTACTTCATACATAAACTACAAACCATATAATCTTAAGTCTTCCAAACATCTAAATCAAAACTTAGTACTCTTGACAATATGAATGTAGTACATCCAAAAGTCTCACATGGAAAAAAGGTAAATCATAAAGCAAATCCAAACCTAGTCCTCAAATCAGAAACAAGGTCCCCTAACAGCCAACCTAATGTAGATGAAGAATTTCGGTGCCAAGAAACAAGAATTGCACAACTAGGGTCCAGACTTACCAATATAAAGGATGTATTAAGACCGAAATAATGGTTGTACTAAAATGGTTGACTTCACCATCACATGTCAACGTATGTGCATGAGTATTCATAATAGGTTAATACCAATAATCCTATGAGGTGGGTGAATACCAATCAATAAATGGCAGGAATAGTATAGAATGTAGTTATAATGCCAAATCAAAATTAAAGTATATAATACATAAATTACAAATCAAATTAAAAGTAGTCTTTCAAACATCAAAAACATAACTTAGTAGTTTAACAATATTAAGGTAGTACATCCAAAGGTATTCCTCCCATCAAAAAAAAGGTCCCCTAACAGCCCAACCAATGTAGACGAAGAATTTCTGCTGCTCTTGTGCCCAAAAACAAGAGTTGCACATTTTAGGTCCCTTCATTTCTTCTTGGTGCCAATCCATTTTACCGTTGCACACGCCGCATTTGCAATTCCATAGGGTGACATACTGTTTGTTTGTCTCATACATACGCGTGTACATTTCTTCTGGTTGCTTTCTTGGATACGACCGTTCCCCCTTATAGATAACCTCCCCAATGATCTTCCTAATTTCGCGTTTCGACAGTTGGCTAAGATATTGGTCACCAATTGGATCTTGACGTACACACTTCATGAACATGCCATAAGTGTAAACAGCAAATTTTTATCCTTTATCTGCAGCTTCTTTGATAAGTTCAACTTCATTGTTATGATGAGTGATATAGTTCTGCATCCCCTTGATGAACAAAGTTCCTGGATTTCGGACCGCATACATTCTGTCGAAGAGATTAAAGTACTCCATCATCCCTTCAAAAGTCAACTCTAGGTTGATTGGGTCAATGGATTCAAGGAATGTAATGCCTCTAGTGCCCTTTGCAAAACGCTTACAGACAACTGGGAGCCTGCCAATGTCTTCAACGGTGTTGCAACTAAACCCGATGACCTTCTCCAGTAATTCATCTGGTAGATCCAGTAAAGTGGTGTGGTAAGCATTACATTGGGATTCCTGAATCCGCCTCCTCAGTTGTCTGGTACTCATTAATCTCCTGAATCAGAACATATGATGCAACTACTTCAAAATATAGTGTTTTCAAACAGAGACTCTTATATAAAAAAATACTTAACAAACTACAATCGTTGGAACAAAAGAAGACAAAACATTAGGCTAATATGATGTGAAGTTACAAAAGAACATACCTTTGCGGTTTCGGCGCCTAGGATTACGCTTAGTTGTCAATGTCTCTACAACTTCCAGAGGGATTCTGTTAGTTTACACCGTATATATACTCCAGAACCGTTGTGACTGCGTAGAGAAGTTTATGGATTCATGAACATTCTCGAGACATCCACTCTCTGTTATAGTTTTGGACAAGAGGAAAACGAAGAGACATGTTACAGTTGTCATACAAATCCATAAAAGATTACCCATTAGATTGGGCCTTAGTGAGGTCGGATATTTGAAATCTTATCCAAAAACTATTTACCATATAGGTCATGTACTTTTGAACTTTACTTTTGGCCTTATTGAATTATTTTAACCAATAAACAATAGAGCATTCCAAACATAAATACTTATACAATCCTTAATAAACCGGTTCCATCATCTCCTATCAATAATGGATCTGATATCTATACAAAGGTTATAAGAATATGGGAAATTACAAAAAGGAAAAAGATAATCAGTTCCTTTTCCCAAACTTATCATTAAACGATAAGGTATTTAGGTTCGTCTAAAGACGTTGGTCATTGTGGAATTTATTTGATCAAATAAATAATTATAGCATCCAGAATGAATTTCTATTTTGGATAAGTCCAAACTAGTTTTATACAACTTTAACAATATGAAATTAATTAAACAGTGTATACATAAAATAATTTCACCGTTTGGTGACACATGCGTTCTGCACGTTTTATTTTAATACATAACATTACATATCGAATCCATTGGATGCAGAGTTGAAAATAAATCCAAAACTATATGTCTATATGGATCCTATTTCAATCCTAAGTACATTCACTCCGCTCGGACAATTGTATACTCATTTTCAAAATTACAAATGGTTTTCATATATCCGCTTAAATAATTGATTATACACTCAGATCCATAAATATACGTCTATAGGGATACTCATGGACATACCTCAGATCCATAAATCTAAATTTTTATGGATCCATCTATATACGTCACAGAACTATGTGTAGATAATTTGTAGATAAGCGACTACAAAACTTGTTCTCAGTTGGATTTATCCTAAAACTATGTGTATATGGATCCTACAAAAAATCCTCTCATTTGAATGTATCCTATAACTATATGTGTATATGGATCCTATTTCAATCCTAAGACAATTGTATACTCATTTTCAATATGACACATGGTTCAAAGTATCTAACCACTCCATTTAAATAATGGTTGATACCTTCATATCCATAAATATATGTCTATATGGCTAGTGTTGGAAATAATTCAGATCCATAAATATATGTCTATATGGATCCATAAATATATGTCAGTTCTAGGGTGCGATTAACATTTTAACAAGAAATGTAGGCGACTATCTTTCATACTAATTCAGCCTTAACGATTTGTTTTAAACGAGTAATTTAGTAGAATCTATATAGGACTGAGTGTTCAGATTCATAATTTGCCTCTACGCCAATGTAAATGTGTATTCATAAGACCAAACCATGTTTGGTAGATAATCGACTAAAATACTAGTTCTCATTTGGATTTATCCTACAACTAAAGAAGAACATCCAATAGGAGTATAAATATATGCTACAATTTATAAGCCATAAAACCTTAACTGATTGTTTAAAACAGTTTAAACAGAGTACTCGCATTACAGTAACAAAATGTAATCCTCCAAATTAACCACCTTGAAACGGGAAATAAAATAGTAGGAAAGAAAGATAACATTGAGGGAAAATGTGTTATCACTAGCCGTACAATGAAATCACAAAGCTGGGCACCTGCAGCACCGCAGATGGGTAAAGCACGTCACAGCTGTATGTCCTTCATCCCGACACCTCGAACAGATAGATGGCGGTCCACCTAGTGAGTACGGATAAAAACCTTCCGGGATATGATCTTGACTATTACCCTCTATCCTCTGATGAAACGAGTATAGATAAATTATTACTACCAAGATTTGCGAATATGTGAAATGTTATTCAAGATTTAAGGAACTGAATAGCTTACACTTACACGGGCGAGGTAACAGCGTTTTCGACGGCCAACAATCGGACGATTTCTCGGAGGCATCAACTTCGAGGCATTTACCTCCATTGGAAAATTGTTGTGTGCGATGTAAGGTAATGCACTGACAGTTTCACAGTACGTTTGGAGCCATTGATCAGTGGAGTAGATATTCCCCACCATTAGTAGTGGTGATATTCCCAAATGTTTAGCAGCAGAAAGACAATGCTCACATGGGATCAAAGTTTTCTAGAGGCTCATACAAGAGCAAGTTTTTAATTCCAAGTTAACTACAAACCGTTGACCATCTGGGGATATTACTTCACAGCAGTTATTGGTAGCGATACAAACAGCCAATCTATCTATGGACTCTGCTTTTTTGGATATCAGTTCTTCTATATAAGGACTTACCTCCCCTTGATGCTCCATTGCTTTGCCGTAAGGCATCGAAAACGTAGTACTCACATGCCAGTGATAAAAATTCAGCAAATTCATGATAGTGTCTTGCTTTAGCATGGGTCGCAAATCATATA